AGGAGGAGGAGGAGGAGGAGGAGGAGGAGGAGGAGAAGAAGAAGAAGAAGAAGAAGAAGAAGAAGAAGAAGAAGAAGAAGAAGAAGAAGAAGAAGAAGAAGAAGAGAAGTAGTAGTAGTAGTAGTAGTAATGAAAGAAATCCTAGCAAATCAACTCTATCCTTCTTCTTCAACCTGGTCGAGAAGGAGGAGGAGGAGAAGAAGAAGTAGAAGAAGAGGAGGAGGATGAGTGAGAGGAGGAGGGAGAAGGAGGAGAAGGAGAAGAAGAGGAGGAGGAGGAGAAGAAGAAGAAGAAGGGTTAGGGTTAGGGTAGCATGAGGCTGTATATTCTGCAACACTGGGACTATCGGTGAGTCAACAGTGGGTCAAAGGAGTAGCAGAGATGACAGTTGCTCTTTAAAAATTATGATTTAAATCGAGTTGATTTAAATCAAGCCTTTTTACTAGTGATTTAAATGATTTAAGTCAACCCGATTTAAATCAAATCCACCCTGCCCAAAAGGCTAGCAAAAACAAGCAGCGAAACGACGCCCATTTAATAACGAACGAGTCAACTTCCTTCGGACGGAGCTTCTAATGCCCCCCCCCCACAATATCGATTTCCGATTTTAAATAAAAACAGGGGGGGTTCTTTCTTTCTTTCTTGGCTTTCCTCAGACTTTCTCTAGCTTTCACGAAAGCTTCGGAGGGAGACGAAGGGAAGCGGAGAATTTTCTGCCAGCATTAGACCCGTCTTGTCGCGAAACCTCCTTTTCTCGCAAGGGTGGATTTCAAAATATATATATTTTTGTGTGGGTGGGGGTGGGTCGCCATCAATTTGGCAAAAGGGGCCACGGAAGGCGGGGGGGTGGGGAAATAAAGAGGGGTGCCTTAGCCGTTTCTGACTTCTGGGGGGGTTTTTTTGGCCCATCAAGGATCCCTTTTTTCTTTTCCTTCTAAAGAAATACAAATGACAGAAAAAAGAAATAAATCAAGAAAAAAAAGAACAGCTCCGTCCACATTCTGACTCTAAACAAAGAAACTCGCCTCTCCCTACCTTTTAAATACTCTTGATTCCTTTTGCCTATTTCGGGGCTGACCTTGACCTGTAACTCATGACCTAAAAATGTAATTACTTTTAAGTCTTTCCCCGCTCAGCTGCCACGATGAAAAAGTGGAGAGAGAGAAAGAGAGAGAGAGAGAGGGAGGGAGGGAGGTCTGGTCACTCATGTCAACAGAGAAACCTTGTCGTTGTAACTTAAGAAATGAGAGCGGCCGCTCGGTTGCAGCTCCGTGGCTGCCTGCCGTAGCAAGGTTGTTGCTGGGGAGGGGAGGGTGTTGTTGGAGAAGAGGGGAGGGGAGGGGGTCCCAACCCATAATAGGATCTGTAATAAATTACACAGCCTCTTGGGGAGTAAATTAACTTCTCAGGTTTGCTCTTTGGGTAGGTTGGAATAGTAGAATGATGGTTTAAGTCGTCTTGCTCTTCCCCTTTTTCTCTTGCTCCTCCTCCTCTTCTTCTTCTTCCTCTTCCCCCTTCTGCCTCTTGCTCCTCCTCCTCTTTCTTCTCTTCTCCATCTCTTCTTCTTCCTCTTCTTTCCCTTCCTCCTCCTCCTTCCTCTTCCTCCTGTTCTTCCTCTTCCTTGTCCTCTTTGCCACCTATTCCTCGTCCTCCTCTTCTTCTCCTTCTCCTCCTCCTAGTCCTTCTCCTCCTTCTTCCTCTTCCCCTTCTTCTGCCTCTTGCTCCTCCTCTTCTCCATCTCTTCTTCCTCCTTTCCCTTTCTCCTCCTTCCTCTTCCTTGTCCTCTTTGCCACCTATTCCTCCTCCTTCTCCTCCTCCTCTTCTTCTCCTAGTCCTTCTCCTTCTTCCTCTTCCCCTTCTTCTGCCTCTTGCTCCTCCTCTCCATCTCTTCTTCCTCCTTTCCCTTTCTCCTCCTTCCTCTTCCTTGTCTTCTTTGCCACCTATTCCTCCTCCTTCTCCTCTTCTCCTTCTCCTCCTTCTTTATCTTCCTCCTCCTCTTCTTCTTCTCCTTCTTCCTCTTTCCCTTTCTCCTCCTCCTGCTCCTCTTCCCAGCATAAATACACATATAACGTTAGTAGTCATTAACACCTCTCTACTATTAATGGTATGATACGTTGCCACACTCGAAAAACATGGGGGAGAGGCCCTTTCATTTGCTTCTTCCGTGCCTTAGCATGATGTTTCCCTTCCTCCTTTGACTGACCTTCTCTGACCTTCAGGTATTTCCGGTGACAAGGTGGAGATCGATCCTGTGACCAATCAGAAAGCCAGCACCAAGTTCTGGATTAAGCAGAAGCCGATCTCCATCGACTCGGAGCTCCTGTGCACTTGCGACCTGGCTGAAGAGAAGAGCCCAAGTAAGCCACCTATCTTGTCTTTCTGGTGCCCTTGTCTAGAGATTCCCTTGTCTCTTTCCCAGAAGGAACCAAGGGACAGCTGGACGTAGCCCCCAAGTCTCCCTTGTACCACCTGAACTATGCTTGTCAGAGTCACCCTTGATAAGAACTCGCTGGTAGCTAAACCAGCTTCCCCAACTGACCTCCGGATTGGTGAATCAGGCCCCAGAATTTCCAACCATGCCTGGAAAGTTGAAGGGTAGTCTTAAGATGAGGAGGGGAGGAGAAGGGGGAAGAAGAGGAATGAGGAGTGGGGGAAGAGAAGAACGAGGAAGAGGAAGAGGAGGAAGAAGGAGAAGAAGAGAAGGAGGAGGAGAGAAGAAGAAGAAGAGCAGGAGGAGGAGGAGGAGACAATCCCCAGCAGCCATAATTATGCCATAGCTGGCTGACCTTCCTTGGGGCAGATGCCAGCAGCAGATTCCTATCTATATGTTTTGAAGCGTATCTTCCACTTCAACCGTTAGAGGAATCTCCAGCGATTTACAGCCAACCGTGTAAGTTGCACATGACTTGAGAGGCCCACATCAGCTCCAGCCAGAAGGACCGAGAGCAAACTTGTCAAGTTCCTTGTGGGAATTAAGTCATGAATCCTTCCTTGGCACAATATAGTACCTATACTATATAGGAGAACTGCTCGTTTCAGATATTTTTACTTTTCTTTTCTCCCATAATAGTTGAGTGATCTTCTTCTTCTTCTTCTTCTTCTTCTTCTTCTTCTTCTTCTTCTTCCTTCTCTTCTTCTTCTTCTTCTTCTTCTTCTTCTTCTTCTTCTTCTTCTTCTTCTTCTTCTTCTTCTTCTTCCCCTTCCCCTTCTCCTCCTCCTCCTCCTTCTTCTTCGTCTCCTCCTCCTCTTCCTCCAGGTTGGAGAAGGAGGATAGAGCTGATTTGCTAGGATTTCTTCCATAATAATTTCTTCTCCTTCTTCTTCCTCTTCCCCTTCCCCTCCTCCTCCTCCTCCTCCTCCTCCTCCTTCTTCTTCTTTGTCTCCTCCTCCTCTTCTTCCTCCTCCAGGTTGGAGAAGGAGGATAGAGCTGATTTGCTAGGATTTATTCCATAATAATTTCTTCTCCTTCTCCTTCTCCTTCTCCTTCTCCTTCTCCTTCTCCTTCTCCTTCTTCTTCTTCTCCTCCTCCTCTTCCTCCTCCTCCAGGTTGGAGAAGGAGGATAGAGCTGATTTGCTAGGATTTCTTCCGTAATAATTTCTTCTCCTTCTCCTTCTCCTTCTTCTTCTTCTTTTTCTGAGGGAAGGGACGCTCGTGTTTTTGAGGCTGATGAAGGAATGCCTCCCTCTCTCTCTCTCTCTCTCTCTTCCTCGGCGATCTTATCGGCCAAGTGATCGATGTTTCCTTCAGAGTTTACATCAAAAATTATTCCCGGGTCTTCCTTCGAAAATGAATTATGGCAGAAGGAGTGAGGGCCGAGGAGGAGAGATAAAGGCTTTTGGAGTTCTGCAATATATTTTGTTTCCCCGGGTTTTATCTCTTGTAACACCACCGTCCTCCTCCGTCTCGTCTTTCCGCCACCGATGCACAGCAGCCAAAAAGTGTCACAAACGGATGGGCTGTGCCCTTTCACCCCCACGGAGACACACCTTCCACTCTTTTGTTAAAAAAACCAGGCGCCTTCCGCCAAGGTATGAACTCGCCAGGCTGAAAATCAACTTAGAGTGCTTGGCCCGTGAACTACACAAGAAAAAGCTTTGCAAATCTTTTTTTTTTACCCCCAAATTAGGGCATCTCTGAGCCTAGTAAATCAGCCGTCTATCAAATCAAGAGGATTGCATTCTTTCATCCAGGGCCTCCTCCTCTTCCTCCTCCTCTGTTGGAATTCCGCACCATCTAAGCTCGGGAGGCGGAGAAACGCTTACTAACCCCCCCCACACCCCAAAATCTGCCCCCCAAATTTCTAGAGATCCTTAATCCTTCAAAAAAAAAAGAATTTGGCCATCGGGTTCCAAGATCTCCTACGCAAACCTGGTGGGAGGAAAGGGCAACGCCGAATTTTCAGGAGATTTCCACGTTCTTCCACAGGAGGGTTGAGTTGGCACCGTTAGCTCCCAAGATTTTTAGTCGTCGTTGTTTAGTTGTCGAGTGTCCGGATTTTGATCGCGTGATCCTGGGGACGGGTTGCAAGGGTCGTAAGTGTGAAAACGGGTCGTAAGTCACTTCTTTCAGGGCCGTTGTAACTTTGATCAGTCGCTAAACGAGGATTAAGCCATCCTTATCTGGGGTCTACGACCATATCCAGGGTCTCGCATGAGAAAATATTTCTCAGCATTGCCGCTAAACATCCTTCTTAAATATTTCATGTCTCTTTAGTTAAAACATACATTGTGCTATTGAGCCAAGTGTCTCTCTCTCTCTTCCTCCGTCCCTCCGTCCCTTACTTTCTTTTTCTTTCTTTCTTTCTCTCTTCCTTTCTTTTTCTTTCTTTTTTAATCCTTCTCTCTCTCTCCTCCTTTCTCTTTTTCTTTCTTTCTTTCTCTGTCTCTGTCTGTCTGTCTGTCTCTCTCTCTCCCTCCCTCCCTTTCTTCCTTTTTCTTTGTTTTTCTTTCTCTCTTTTTTCCTTTCTTTCTCTTTCTTTTTTTAATCTCCTCCTCCTTTGTTTTTCTTCTTTCTTCCTTTTCCTTTCTTTCTCTTTCTTTCTTTCTTTCTCTGTCTCTCTGACTCTCTGTCCCTTCCTTTCTTCCTTTTTTTCTCTCTTTCTTCCTTTTTCTTTCTTTTTCAATCTCTCTCTCCTCCTTTCTGTTTTTCTTCTCTCTTCCTCTTTCTTTCTTTCTTTCTTCCTTTCTTTCTTTCTGTCTCTCTCTCTCCCTCCCTCCCTTTCTTCCTTTTTCTTTCTTTCTTTCTTTTTTAGTCTTTCTCTCTCTCTCCCCTCCTTTCTCTTTTTCTTCTCTCTTTCTTCCTCTTTCTCTCTCTCTCTCTCTCTTTTAGTTTCTCTTTTCTGATGCATTGGCTGTTGCTAATGAGAGGCCCGCTCGATCAAGAAAAATGCAGTTTATAAACAAAGCAAAGATGTTGAAATTACTTGAAAGAGCAGTAGCATACATCATAAGATGGGGGGGCAGGGGGTGAATAAACACACGTGGTTGGACCTCATTCCGAAATTCATCATTTCAAAAGGGTTTTCATCTTTCGTCAGTTAACGCTCAACTTCAAAGCCACCCCAAGGAAAGCAGCTGGCAATGGTTTCAGAATTATACTTTTCCTCAATATCATTCTGCGTATAGCAATAGCACTTAGACTTATATACCGCTTCACAGCGCTCTAAGCGGTTTACAGAGTCAGCCTCTTGCCCCCAACGATCTGGGTCCCCATTTTACCGACCTCGGAAGCTTGGAAGGCTGAGTCAACTTTGAGCCATTCAGGATCGAACTCCTGGCAGTGGGCAGAGTTAGCCTGCAATACTGCATTCTAACAGGGAAGGAAACTTCTGCCAGAAGGCAACTGTCCAAACGTCCATTTATGAAGATATTGAAGAGTGTTGGGCCTAAAATGGAATCTTGTGGTACCCCATTGCTTACTTGCCTCCATGTAGATATAGTACCATTAGGGGCTACTTGTTGAGTACGATTTATCAGCCAAATCCATCTGGTGGTGATGCTGTCTATCCCGCATTTATCTAGCTTACCAAGAAATAGGTTGGGGTCTACTTTGTCGAATGCCTTGTGGGAACGTCATGATTCTAAGCTGCTAACGTGCTTAACTCCGCCCTCCCCAGCTCTGCCTGATCTCCTACAGAATCCGTTTGAACCGATGGCAAAACCACTGACGAAATCTCCGGTAATCCTTTATCCGGATCCGCGCGACCTTCTCCTCTTCGAAGGGGCGTCTCTGTTAAATCAGCCTCTGCTTTGACTCTCCTCAAAAGATTTTGCCGATTTTGAATCGGAGGGGGGTGGGGAGAGGGAAGGGGGGGAAAAAGAGCCTCTTGTTGTTAAGAAGGAAGATTTAAGCCTTCATAAAACCAGCTGCCATTTTTATAGCCCCCAGAAAGAGGCCCTGTGTCTCAATTAAGAACACATAATATAAAGTCTTAAGGAAGCCACATAATAAGCTTAATGTGATTATATCCCCGGGCAAAGCATAATTTAAAGAAAATCTGATTCTCTTCATATCTCGTTAACATTATTGGTGAGGGGGCAGAGGGAGAAATAAAAACAGGTTGGGGAACCCGTCCCAAATACCGCTGTCCACCCTAGAGCAGTTCCGTAAACAGAACTGGCCCCGGGGACAGTCCAAAAAACCGTTGGGTCAACGTCAACCCCCATTCGCATCCTATCTTCTTGGCTAAACGTTCAAACAAACCACGTAACAGACTCATTTTCTTTAATGGACGCTCAAACCTTGTGATCCTGGAGCGGCCTGTTTGTTGATCAAAGCCAACGTGGTCCTCAGAACGTGACATCCCGTCAAAACACAAAGCGAGTGATGTTATGACATCACGTCAGGCTTCTCTCTTAGATCAGCGCTTCTCTTCCCTTCCCCCCCCCTGGGGGGGAGGGTGCCTGCCAGATGTGCGGCGGTTGCAACATCTGGAAGGCTCAGCACAGCCCACGACTCGAGGAAGAAGTCTTGACCTTCATGCGGAGGGGGGGGGTCGGGAAGGTGCCTTCGGAGGTGGGGAGCTGGGGGTGGCGGGGTTCGGTCTCGATTCTTGCTTCCCGCAGATGTTTTTGGGGCAGCCCAGATGTGGAAAGACTGGGATTTCATTTCTGGGATTTCCCAGGAACGGCCACATCTGGCGGCACAGCACGCGACGAGCCTGGTCCCCCAGGTAGCACGTAGCATCCAAGAAAACTTGGCTTTTAATCTTTCTCACGCCCAACACCTAACTGTTAAAATGCTAAACCTATAAACGAGCAACGAGCTGTGGGGAAAAGCTCCTTTGACCAGCAGGCCTCCTTGATAGTTGAGTTTTTCCTTCTCTTTCTCCCTCTTTTCCTTCCTCCTCCTCCTCCT